ATGGCTGACCAAGCTAGCAGTCCCTGGAGGTGGGAAATGTTAAAGGGACTACAAATGTCGCTATCAGTTGGTGCATAGTTCCTCTTTACTGGGTTTCTGGAGTCTCTCCATCAGGCTATCAGGGGTGGAACAGGAGGACAGTTCTCTGAAAAGTAAGGGGAAGCTAACGAGGTTTAACATGGAAGGTATTTAGCACAGTACTTGGCATACAGACTCTCTTCCTTGGTGTCCTCACAGCCAGAGTGCTAAACAGTGAACCTTATTGTGGTTCTCCGTCCTACTGGCTTCCATTTTGGGTCCAGTAACTCAAATTCCTAAAGGCTTATTCCAAGTCCTCTGGGGCTGGAAGTCCTTCCCCTTCCGGCGCAGCACTCTTCTCTCTATAAAAGGCTCTCGGGTTACCTGCTCCTCATGGCCTGGCTGGGCTTTCTTAGCAGCCTCTGCCTGCTGACCTCTTGTCTAGGATGTCTCCTCCCGGGCCACATCTCCATCAGAATCCCTTTTGCCCCCTTCTTCCTGGTGTCACTTCTACTCAGAACTGGTCTCAAACACGAATTAATTCTTGGCCAGAGTTGGAAAGTGAAGAGATTGAGGGAGGCCAGGGTAACAAGGTCCCCTTGCCCACAAGAGTTAAGTGAGAGCTTGTGGGTGTTTTTAGGTTCACCTTTCTCCCTAAGGCAGATCGGCCCAGTGACAGTTCACATCACACCATTTGCTTTCGGCCTAGCTCCCACTGCCAGCCTAGAACAGGGCCTGCGGAGCAGCCTGGCTCCTCTGCCCGCCATGGCCGGCTCTGCTGTGTATGGCTGTGCAAGGTCACCATGGGGGCTTCAATACACGCTGGGCTCTGCTCAACCTGTATCCCAGGCAGGGTGTGCCCACAGATGGGGCATGTCCCTGATTAGTGCAAAGGCAGAGTGTGTGCTTGCTCGGCCCTGTGATAAGAAAAGTGCATGCATTTTTAGAGGATGAACTAGTATTAGGGGAAAAATTCACTTTTTCTTTAAAATCTCCTGGGTGAAATCTGTGACCAATTTTCAGAAGGCTAGGCTTTAGAGCAGTGTGTAGGAGGAACATGCACACATCTTGCTACACTGGGCGGCATTCATTCATCACACCCACTCTAAACTGCCACATCTCTCCCCAGACAGCAATTTCCAGACACTAGAAATACTTACATTTTATACTGTGCTTACTACAACTGACGAAAGGTCTACTCAACTGTCAGTAGAAATGCTATAGCTAGAGAAATTCAATGTTATCCCAGATTTTTACAAGTCTAATGCATAATGTTCACAAGAGTAAAAAACAATTAACAATTTGAAAAATTATGAATTTATCCACACTTCCATATTCCAAATACTTTGCTTAGTGTTAATTTCAATTCCATAGTGAGAGAAAGCAGCTTTTTACATTTCCTAAATATACTGCAATTTCACCTTTTGCCATCATCTGTGTCCATGTTTCAAAGGGAAGACAGATTTATTACATACTAGAGGCCCAGCGCACGGTTAAATCATGTGTGTGTAGGGTCCCCTAGGCCATCAGGGACATGTCTGCTGCACCATAACACTTCGCACACTCCGCGGACGCTGCCGGCACCCTGCCCTGCCCGCCGTGAGAGTCATTGCTCGTTTGGTCTTTTATGATATAAAGTCATTGGGTGTTTAAGAAACCAAACTGCCATAGATATTGTCCAAGGAACACTACAGTAACCTCCACGCTGCAGCGAAGAATCATCACATACAGAGTATAGAGCAGCATCTCAGAACCCTTGTGAACTGATGCTGGAAAGGCGTCCAGGTTGAGAGAACCCTCCAAAGAGTTCACTCTCTTGTCTGGCCAGTGTGGTTCAGTGGTTGAGCACCAGGATGTCAGGGTTTGATTCCCTGTCGGGGCACATGCCTGGGTTGCTGGCTTGATACCCAGTAGCGGGCATGGAGGAGGCAGCCAAACAATGATTCTCTCATTGATGTTTCTCTCTCTCTCTCCCTCTCCTTTCCTTTCTGCAATCAATAAAAAATATATATTTTTTAAAAAAGAGTTCTCTAAAATGTCTAAACACTTCACCTCCTTCACCAAAGTATAACAAGTATGACTTAATATTTTCTTAATGACATAGCACATTAAGAGAGAACAATGCGTTAAGGTGAAGAGAACTGGGTTTGACTCATAGGTCACTATACACTGTAGAATGGTCTCAGTCATTCACCGAACTTCCTGGGCTTGTCGTGTTATGATGGGGTCACTGCATTCTCAGGAGCTGGTTAAAAGCACACATAAAGTGCTCAGGGCAGTGCCTTGGCTCTTGTAGGAGGTGCCCTATGAAATGCCAGCCCCGTGCCTATGAACAGTGGAGTTATTACATGTGCTGCAGGCTTCTCACCCTTCTGTGGGTGCGCATGTCAACAATGAGTCACTGGGCAGAATAAATGCAACTCCAGGTCTTGCCCTAGGATTTGCTTCTTTATTTTTTTTTCTTTTTAAGCACTAATACCAAATACCTAACTATATATTTTTCTCATTTGGCTTTCTTTCTCCTCATAAAAGTCGAATATGAGCATATGACTTCTAAGAAATAGGATATGGCTGCCCTACTGCAAACTTTGTCCCTCTTCCCAACCAGTGTTTTCCTTTCAGAATGTCAGCTACCTTCCTGCTGCAGGCTAAGTTTATATATGCTGTGAAAGAAGCACAAGGCAATCGAGGCAGACAGCAAGGCAGCCATTTATATTTGCCTGTGTATTTGACCTCCACCTTCCCAGCAATTTTTGTGCCCTTTTGTTTACTAATGATTTAAACATGCTTTGTAGCCTATAACCTCTGAGCTTAAAGCATTGTCAATGAAGCTAAGTACAGAAACTATTTTCTTGGGTAGCTTTATAAAAAACACACGCACAATATTTGCTATTTCATCCCCATTACACACGAGTGAAGTCTGAGCTGTGGGTTGTCAATCGTACTGTAGAGATGGGCAACTGCAGGTGTGACTGGAATTAAGGTGTGAAGAGAGAAATATACACAACACAAGCTGGTATCTTTCTTTAATCAAAGAAACCAAAGACCATACAACACATTATTTACTCACTTCACTGGGAGTATTTTTTGGCAATTCTGTGGACAACAATTGTCTCCCTTATTCCCTAAGGCATGACATCTGGCCGGGCTGACACCAAACTTGTTATCCGTCTTCTGTCTACTCCACTTTGCCCTTGCTCCTTGACGGATGATGCCCCTCGACCCCCCGCATTTACTATTTTCATTTCAGCTGCCAAAGTTGCCTCAGTTATTCTATGAAACATTTCTCAAACTCTACTAATGCAGCAAAGAGAATGGACAATATCATACACTTTAATATGCCTCCAAAGAAGGAAATTTAGTAGAAAAGTGAGCGCCCATCTTTCTTTAACAACTACCACCTTCTCTGTGAAGGTTTGCACCGATGGCCCTGGTTGACCACACCCTCCCTTTTGTCCTATGTGTCTTATATTCTGTTTCTATTATACCTCCCATCACAGTAAGGATATATAATTCTTTATTTTCCTCTTTCTCCCACCGGGATGTGAGTTTGTCAAGAGAAGAGGCCCTTACCAAGCTGGCACAGTGGTTAAGGGTTGACCCATGAACCAGGAGGTCAATTCCCTGTTGGGACACATGCCTGGGCTGTGCGCTTGATCCCCAGTATGGGGCATGCAGAAGGTTGCCAATCAATAATTCTCTCTCATCATTGATGTTTCTCTCTCTCTCTCCCTCTCCCTTCCTCTCCGAAATCAATAAAAATATATTTTAAAAAAAGAGAGAGAGAAGAGGCCCTGATTTTAGCATAGAAGACACTAGACCTAAGTTGGATGACATGGAATTAAAGAACAAAATTTTATAAAAGAGGATAAACATCCAGTCTGTGTCTGCATCGATTCAGTTAAGTAATTCTGAAATAAAAATAGGGTGAAGGGAGCAAAATGGGTGAAGTGGGTCAAAGGTACAAACTTCTGATTATGAGATAAATAAGCCCTGGGGGATGTAACGTATAGTATGGAAACTACAGTTAACAATACTGTATTGTGTATTTGAAAGATGCTAAGAGAATATAATTAAAAGCCCTCATCACAAGAGAAAAATATTGTAACTATGTGTGGTGATGGATGTTAACTAAACTTATTGTGGTAATCATTTCACAATATATACATATATCAAATAATTATGTTGTACACCTAAATCTAATACAATGTTATATGTCAATCATATGTCAATTAAAGATAACTTATAAAGGAAAGATTTTGTGTGTTCTAATCATTGTTTCACTAACATAACACTAGTTAAGAACCACAAAGGTTGAGATCTGAATTCATATTGTCTTTATGCAGTTTTATTTTGATTTGCTGATAGCTGCACACTAATATGGCTCTTATATTTGAGAGAGAGAGAGGGGAAGAGAGAGAGAGAGAGAGAGAGAGAGAGAGAGAGAGAGAGAGAGAGAGACTGTTGTTCTCTGGAGATGCATGTTAGTCCCATAACAATTTTAGTAATGAACAATTTTGCCTTTTAAACCATCACATTCTAATCTTGACACCTTGACTCTGAGATATTTGAGGACAGGGTGCCAAGATGCTAGACATAGCCTTTTGAGGCTTTACTTTTTTTTTTTTGGTCTTGTTTTTAAGCCAATAAAGCCAAGATTGAGTCACTGAGCTTCAGTGATAGCAATGAGAATTCAAGTTATCTCGCAAACTCCCGTATAATAGTCCTTTAGGATATTTTAAAATTATACCAACAAACCACTGAGCTAGGATGAAAATATTATGTTCCCTGGGTCCTATTTAAAATCATACTGCTTTAGTTACCTTTCCATCATGTAGCTATAAAATTAAAGATGTGAAAAATTTTTAAAACATCAAGATGCATAACAAGAAAAATAATGAAATCTCATGCCTCAAGGAGAATCTCCTCTGATTAGCTCCCGTTAACATGCTCAGCCTCTTAGATGGCATTCTGTACCATACCTGTCCTGTGTATGCGAACTCCAGAGCCTGCTTTAAGCCTAGGCTGGTCACACCATGCAGATTCACCTCGTCAGCTCCACTTTCCACCATACAAAGACTGAACATTGCCTGAGGCGGGAAAAAGGAAGAGACAGAGAGTTATGGGACTTAAAAAGCAAGGGAACAAGACAAACTCCTAGAGAGACTAGGAAAGAAAAAGTTTTATAGGTTAAAGACTGATATTGGCTTCTGCAATGGTTTGACAAAGCTTCGCCGACACAAGCACTGCAAGTCACTGTCTCAGCAGGTGCAGTAACACACAAAGAACACCCCACACGCAGACTCTCATTTACTCCCACAGCCCTTCTCTGGGGTGACTGTGTTTAGACTCACTCACGGAACTCATTCTCTGGATCCTGGGATCTCATGAAATGTGCAGCACTCCCAAACGTTCTTGTCAACAGGACATGGAAAGCACACCCTTGTCTTCAACTGGTCTTCCTTTATTCCCCATCTCAATGACATAGCTCATTCCTCTCCTCTGCTACAGTATCACACCCTCTATTCCAGTGGTTCTCAAAATGTGGCTCCTGGGCTGCCAACATCAGTACAGCCCAGGAAATTGTTATAGATTCTTGGAAGCCAGTCCAGCAATCTGTGTTGTAAGGGTCATCCAGGTGACTCTGATGCTCACTTGATTTTGAGAACCACTGTCAAAGTTATTCAGAGAGAGTCAATATACCCCTAAACTAACTCTCCAAATGGCCAACTTACTGAAACGTCAGTTCTTCCGCTGAATGACCAATATGTCAAACGGAAACTTGAAAATTAAAAAAATAAAAACTTGCCATATTAAACAAATGCATAGGTTTGCCTTGCCCCCCACAAAAGCCTTTAACAAGTTTGACTTAACAGGTATAAAGAGAATATTCAATTTTATGCTACTGATGATGAAATACACTACTCTGTGTAGTGAAGACTTAACCTTACCCAATGAGAAGTCTGCCTTTGCCCTGGGTTTCTGGGGCGTGATCTCTAGGCCCTCGGATTATCCTGCCTGATAGGAGTGTCTTGATTTGTCTGGGGCTTTGACCACTGAGTCTAGTGAACATGATTTATGATGGGTTTGGAGCCACACCGTATCAGTTCTGACCTCAGCAGATTTGGAGATTAAAGGTATGAACTGGAGGTCCCAGGAGAGGCTAGAGAGGAAAGGCCAGACACGTAGGCAGCTTGCAGTTGAGCTCCAGTAAAAACTCGGACACCACAAGCACGGGCGAGCTTCCTTGGTTGGCAGTGCCCTGTGCACACTGTCGCACAGCATGGCCAGAGGAGGTAACACGGCCCCACAGGAGGCAGATGGCCAGAAGCGCCATATTTGGTCCCCTTCTGCACTCTGCCCTAGGTGCCTCTTGCCTTGGCTGGTTCTAATTTGCATCCTTTCCCTGTAATAAGCCAAATCCACGAGTATAAAAACTTGCAGTGAGTTCTGTGACTCTGTCCAGCGAATTATTGAACATGAAAGTAGTTTTAGGAATCCCCTCAAACTTGTCATTGGTGTCTGAATGAAAGAAGTCTTGTACTGTACTTTCAAGTTTTATAATTTGGCTCATTCATAAAAGTAAAACAAAAATACAATGCATGGTTCTATGTAGTAATAGTTCAGCTCCCCTTAAATCTTTTTAATTTTAAAAATGTTATATTTTGTTCTGTCAAAGTATTAATATGTACCTTTAGCAATTTTTAATTTTGATAAATTTATTTTGATTCTCATAATTCTACACATTTTAAATTAAGAATATATTTAACTTTCAGAAATTTACTTTATCATAAGTAAAATCTAACCTTTAAAATTTAACCTTCTAAATTGATCCTCTAAAATCTGTTAAAGGCCAATGGTCAATGTGGTAAATTTGGGAACCTGGTTAATCAGTGACTTGATCTGCCTTCCCACTGGTGTCACCAGCAGTTAAGGCACTGTATGGCAGGTTAAGAGGACTGGATTTGAAGTCACATGATCCTTGGTTTGTGTTTAAAGCAAATTTGTAACAAAACAATTCTGGGTTTGATCACTGGTAAGTGAGAGTGATAAACATGTAACCTGACTCAGTTTTCTTATCTAAAAAATGGGACTAATGAACTTGTTTGAAGATTATATGACAGTATATA